CACTTTATGTACCTATGTTTTGTGATGTATCTTCATTTAGGGTTTTTTTCTTATTTATTGGCATAACTTAAACACAGTATCGTTTACGGTGTTAGTTCTATGGTAAATTCAACCGATATGCGAGATTGACTTAATGCAAAATACACAACTTAAATGATAACAATGATAAAGATGGGTCATTTGGTGTGGTTTGCTGGCATGCCAGGTCACCATACCTTAAGTCCACTGGACTTGTTTTGTGTGGCTATGTGGAGTACTTGGTCTCCTTATCTTTAGTGGAAGATAATAAGGAAATTTACAACTGGATAATGAATGCAGATGTGCTAGTCAGGGGAACGTTGTATTTTAATGTTACTGTTGTTGCCACGTGCAAAAAAACTTGGCTGTATATCAGAGAAACTAAAGGAGATTTTGAAAAAAAAACAAGTAGTTGGGATCAAATAGAAGGCAACTATTAAAACGTTAAGGAAGTAAGGAACAGTTAAGTTTCGAATTTGTGTGTTTTAGAGTTAACTTTTATTTTTTGTGTAAATAAGTTAAACTATGTATTTCTGGGGTTTTAACAATTATTTTAGTAAAGAAATATATCACTTGGCTGAGTTATTTCCATTAGCATGTGTCTAAGCACTACAATCAATTAATTGGTATACTTTACTTAGGTTAATTTTGGGTTTTCGGTGAATATATTGACAACATTGTAAAGTGTAGTATCTAAGTACATAATTTTAGAGGTTAATCCATTGGAAGTATTTGCTTATGCTTGGAAAAAAATCTTAAGTTAAATGTACCATGTGTGAATTTAAACATCATTCAATGTATTCAAAAAATAAAAATAAAACTAGTTTAATATGTTTTCACAAAACATACGTTTTATGGATGTTAATCCTAACGGATCTTTAATATTCTTATAATAAATCTCACAAGGATTCTACAAATTACAATAAACCCTATTCAAATATAATTGTTATTGCAGCTATTGCCATATTATTTAAGCAAGTGTTATTTTAAAGGGAGGTGATTTTGGCCATTCCGTGTTTTTCAAGAGAAACTCTTAAATTTGAGAACGACAAATCAAACGAACAGTAGATGTTTATACATCATTTTAAAGGTTATTAACTGCAGAAGTTTTTAGTAATAATTGACACTCTCTAGAGTCCAGTGTAGTATAGAAAAATTTTGGAAAAAGTTATTACTTTTTTCTTAAAAATCACAAATTCAAACTTCCATTGCCAAATAAGGGCTTATGCAGATGTTTCATCTCAATGAATTTTTACTATTAATATTTAAAATTCAACGAGGGTTCTAAAAATGACAATGAATTTGGAATCAAAACAATGTTTAGCGCACTTATGGCCATTTTATGTAAGCAAATACAAATATTTTGAAAAAATCTTAAATTGTCCGTTATTCCCTACCTGTGAGGTATGGAAACTTAAATTGGTGCCATTTTGTCACCAATACTTAGTAGTTAAACACATAAAAGTTTTTAACACTAACTTCGTTCCACCCTGTATTATACACCAAAATGAGTAGAATATTTCCAGTAATATACAGGGTGTCCGGTGATAAGTGTTAAATAAAATTTTGCATTAAACTACATGGTAATGGTGACAGAATGTCGCAAATTTGAGGTTCCCAACTTCAACAGTTAGAGAATAACAAATAAATTAAGATTTTTCAAAAATTATTGTTGTTGTTATGAAAAAGGTTATTTTACTCTGTTAAAAATGCACTTATTGAAGTGTCAACTTCAATGACATTTTCAGAATCCTCACAAAATTTTAAATAAATATACCTAACACATAATCGTTGGGGTACGTAAAAATATTCTATTTAAAATTCTTCGTTAAACAAATTATTTTTATATCGACGAAAATGTAAATAACATACAGCAATTTATTTCTCGGTTGTTGAGTTCCGGCGAGGTTATCAAATATGACTAAAAACTTCCTTATTTAAAGGGCTTTACAATGGTGTATAATCGTTTTTACCGAATTTCAAATTTCCTAATGTAATTCGATCATTATTGTGAAAAAACATGGTAGGGCAAAGAAAATCTATTGTGAAGAATAATACATTTAAGTGCAGGCAACAAATAATTTGTATTTCTTTCTCGCATGCAACGCTTTGTTTATAACTACCCAGCTAAGAAAGGAAACATAGTAGTAAAATGTGTTTGTGATAAAGTTACGGTTATCGTATAATTTTCATATAAGATTTAAATTATCTCCCGGAATTTCTATTTTGTTGAATGGATTTAGTCAATAGATTCAGGTATTTTACTGATAACAATACTTTATCCAAGCGATAAGAAAACAAAGCGAACCAGTAGTCATATTTTAAAACGATCTATCAGTCACATGTGGACAGTGATCGGTCAACTATGTCTTTTTCGATTCGGGAGTATGTTGAAATGCATTTTATTTATGGTTTGTGTAACGGCAATGCGTCGGCTGCTCAGAGAGAGTACCAGAATCGGTATCCTGATCGCACCACCCCCAGTACTCAGGTGTTTACTAGAGTGCATCAACGTTTGCTGGAAACAGGATCGGTTGAGAAGAAGAAGAAAGAAGTAGGACCTGTGCATGATGTTGCAGCTGAAGAGGGTGTAATTCAGAGAGTTATGGATAATCCTACTACTAGTGTTAGGCAGCTTGCCCTTGAAACTAGTATGTCCCGGTGGAAAGTACATAAAGTGTTGAAGGACAATAACTTCCATCCGTATCATTTTACAAAGGTCCAAGGATTGGAGCCTCGTGACTTCGAATCCAGAAAGGAGTTCTGCCGCTGGCTTCTTCAACGTGATATTGTTGAATATCACTTCCTTAAAAAAAATACTATGGACTGACGAATCCCGTTTTACCAGAGAAGGTGTGATAAATATTCACAATATGCATCTTTGGAATAATGAAAATCCAAAAGCCTCCAGAGAAGCTTCTTTTCAAAAAAGGTTTGGGATCAACGTGTGGGCAGGTGTGATTGGAGATCGGTTAATTGGTCCTCATATCTTCGAAGGAAATCTGAACGGTGATTTATATCTAGATTTTCTTCAGCACTCTCTACCTCAGTTGTTGGATGAAATTGATCCTCAACAAAGAGCTGAAATCATATTTCAGCAGGATGGTGCTCCACCACATTTTACTGAAAGCGTTCGGTTGTGGCTATCCCAAAACTACCCGACATGGATTGGACGTGGAGGAAGTGTGACATGGCCTCCTCGATCTCCAGACTTGAGCCCGTTAGATTTTTTTGTTTGGGGTTACATGAAAAGTCTAGTTTACTCAACTGTTGTAAACTCTGAAGTTGAGTTACGGGAGAGAATCTTTGAGGCTGCTGGGAAAGTAAGGGAAAAATTGACGTATGAGGTCACAGTTGGCGCAATCCGTAAAAGAGCTAGGGCCTGGTTGCGGGAAAACGGTGGGCACTTTACACCCAAACTGTGATTTGTGCTTCGGACAAAGTGTGTCATTGATTTGTTTAATGGGTTAACTATCATTTCATATTTAAATTGTAGTGTGTATTATGTTTTTTACTAATGTGTTGTGTTTTTTAATTACAAATTTTCCAAAGTCTTAAAAAAAACTCTTTAGTTTGATGGAAGTGTAGTCTGGTCAATCATAAATTATACATACCCTCATCATCAGTGGTCAGCTCATAAAATAGTAAGTAAAATTTTATTATTTTTTACAATATCTGTTTTGGCTTGACCGTGATTTTTCACAATAGTGCGTAAAATTCACCATGGATTTGACAGTAGGTAAATGTTGTTATACATCATTGTAAAGCCCTTTGAATAAGGAAGTTTTTAGTCATATTTGTAAACCTCTCCGGAACTCAACAACCGAGAAATAAACTGCTGAATGTTATTTACATTTTCGTCGATATAAAAATAATTTGTTTAACGAAGAATTTTAAATAGAATATTTTTACGTACCCCAACAATTATGTGTTATATTTATTTAAAATTTTGTGAGGATTCTGAAAATGACATTGAAACTGACAGTAAGTGCATTTTTAACAGAGTAAAATAACCTTTTTCATAACAACTACAATAATTTTTGAAAAATCTTAATTTATTTGTTATTCTCTAACTGTTGAAGTTGGGAACCTCAAATTTGCGACATTCTGTCACCATTACCATGTAGTTTAATGCAAAATTTTATTTAACACTTATGACCGGACACCCTGTATTTTCGATTTTGGCTGGGTTTTATAAGCGAATGAATCAAACCTTAGTACTGTATGAAAATCCTTGTTTATTGAAGCGAACTTAGGACCGCACGGTCCTTTCTTACAGTTAACTTCTAAATGAATTCTGGAGTGAATGTACACATGTGCTCCAATTTGGATAAAATTTGGTATGTGACGACAGCACAATATAGATTGAAGTTGAAATCTCGTCTTGGTCAAGTCCAGGGTGCTACTCGTGGATAGAGATATACGTTATGGATTGCTGTACGGCAACTGTTATCAGGCTAGCCTGTTTAGAGGTTGGTTTAACACCTCAGCAAATCCACCGAACACCGTTTTTGAAAAACCAATGACTTCTTGTAGATACAATCCTTCTTGGATAATTGATACAATGCTTACAGACAGGTCTTTTGGGCATCTTGTTAAAAGGAAATAGTTATTTGTGTAACTTGTCTGTAAAGTGGGACTTTGCTGCACATGACACGCACGAGCCGCAGGTGGGTGTGGAAAGTTTCCCAAGTTACACATTATAATTTTTTTCTACAGTTACTATAAAACATAAAAATGGTACACATATGACATGCCTAATAAAAGCACATGGTGTTGTGTTGTTGGCAAAAGTAAGTAAATGCAGCAATTAGCTACTTGGCGTGCTATAATAAGTGCAAGGAAGCCCACTTTGTCAGGTAACTGTAGGAAAACTCTTTTTCTAAAGTAACCATCTCTGGTAAAATCACAGACAAACACATAATTTATCAAATTTTTATTGACAGTATACATTTTATTTACATCAACGAGAGTTAAAAAATAATCCACAGTAAAACGTAAACAAATAAAAATAAGTATAATATTTTGCAATTAGGTAATAATGTCAAAGGAGTAAAGTGTATAGAAATCTGATACAAGTTTTGTGCAAAAATTTAACTATTACAAAACATTTAAGTTTAAAAAAATTTTAGGCTATTTGTGTTCTGTGAAATGGATTGCATAAATAACAATGTTAATTCACATAATGTCCGTATTAAATTAACTGGATCCATATAAATTCAACAATATATAATTCAACATAGTTTAAACAAAATTATAATTCCTTATTAAATATCAAATTCGTGAAACAAAATGTTGACCAATTGATATTGAAAAATACAAAGCATCATAAAAACTCCTAACTATTTAAACAATGGTTGAATTGGTTGGATCTCTCTGAGATTTAAAATAAAAAATTTAAAAAATAAATTTTGGTAAACGTAACTATAAAAAGAAATAAAACTTACAAAACTATTAACTAATAGTCATGGAAGGAAATTTATAGTGGGAAAATTATACACCCCTGTTGTTATCACAATTTTAGCCGGTAGCTTGCGCTGTGGTGAAATGGATAACAGTAACGGAGGGGGGGGGGAGGGGAGAATGAGAAAAGAATTGCAGATAGACAATCCACAAAACTCTAGAAAGTTTGTACGCTTTTCTAATAATTTAACTGTAGGAAAATTTCAAAAATTGTTAATTCGACTGTTATTTTAGAAACCAGGCTGCCTATTCCATTTTTTGTGATTCAGAGCATGGTTCTGGTTTAGCTTTAGATAGTTTTTAGTATATGAGTGATGAAATATTACTTTATTTAAAAAGTAATCATTAGCATTAAAATATTTTAAATGAAGCATTACACTAAGGGATCAGTTAGAAGCACCAGCCGTAGTTGCTGATGCAAAAATATGACTTTTGAGATGGATGTCCAATCCATATGATAAAAAGGGGGGAGATAAGCTCCAATAAAACAAATTTGGGAAGATCTTTATGTAAGAAACTTGGATGAATGTACAAAGAAAAGGTGAGGAGAAGAAGTAAAGTGAGATAAAGCCAGAGCTCGATTAACATCTATTTTTATTTTTTTTTCTTGAACAGGTTATTCATTTACTATTATTTAATCATAAACCCTTTTAACACTAATATCGAAACCCCGGTCTGACAGGCCCACGGGAATTTTCAAAAACGCATGTTGGCAACACTGTTTATTTGGGAGATACCATTCCCCCATTACCTTCCCTACCAATTGATATATTGTTTGTTCATTTTGCATGGGTGCCGTGACCTTGACAGGTTGTCTGTTCATAACATGTCCGTCTCAGAAGCCCAGCTTTAGTGTATTTTAAAGCAGGGTCTCACAGGCCGAGGGTTTCGGTTTGTGTGTTTCTAAGCGGGTTCCATTATTTTTAAATGGGATCTCACAGACCGGGGGTTTCGGTTAACGTCAGCCTAGGTAGGGTTTCGGCATTAGTGTTAAAACCACACTAAAAAAATTTTAAGATTTTTTATAAGTTAAGTTAATACTGAAAAGAGCTATTTACTGAAGTTTCAGATTTCTTATCATATTTGCCCTACCTCACCTTAGTTAAACATGAAATTGATGAGTTGAGGAATACGATGCAGAGGATTTGAGTGGTGGAAGTCAGATGGTGATACCAAATACCGTTTTAGGGTTTGGGTATAAATTGATTGCTATGGGAGACAAAGTAAGAATTCAGCAACATAATGTGATTCAACACCTTGGCCAGTTATATTTAGATCCTAATTAGAACACAACAGGCTATAAATCATAGAATATATTTATATTGGATATGATACAAACATTTAACAAGGGCTGCAAGAAACTACCAGGGCTAAACTGTACTAGACATGTGTAAATTAACATCAGTCTTTTACTGGGGGCCCAGTGATAACCCTGCCAACAACACGAAAAACAAAACATGAATATGTTCCAACTTTTTGTGGTATTTATTAACGTGTGCATAAATGACAACACAAATGGTTCTGAAGACTTAGTTTTCACCTGTTTAATTCATTGGGTGAAATGATGATTATAGATATACATATTTCCGTATCCAAAAGTCATGATACAACCAATAGCTTTCTTTTAAACTACACAAAATCAATTACTTTCAATGAATGGATTAGAAAACCCTAAAAGGGTTGTACACTTGATTCATAACAATTTGAATTTAACAATACAAAGAATCATAATGGTCTTTTTCAAATACTGCAGTCTTAGGCTCAGCGCACAAGGTGTGACTGTTTTTTTACAACTACAGTTGCGTCTATTGTGCAATCAGTGGAGTGTGAATTTAAGTGCAGTTACGTTGTATTAAGGCCTTAAGTGCGCTTACTACGTCAGACAGCGAAGGGTACTGAGAGAGCATTGGGTTCACCCTTATTTGAGCAAGAATGTTAGTACTAGGCTGTTTGTAGCAGCTAGAGCTAGTGGTATAGGAAATTATAAACACTAAAAACACTATACGGCCGTCATAATACCACCAAAATACTACCAAACACCACAAAAACACCCCGTGGTCTCGTGCAACTGAAGTCTGAAACGCAACTGCATCGTCGGGCCCACGGTTGTATGTGACTGGTTTTAAAGGTTTTTTGAAATCGCATACAACCAGTTGTGTCGTGTGCGCCTCTCCACTGCAATACATTGCCAAGGTCACAAAACAGTTGCTGCAACGACAGTTGTAAAACAGTCACACCCTGTGCGCTGAGCCTTACCATTCAAATCAAACGTTGTTTTTACGAATGATGGAATGATGAAGTTTTACCTTGTGCCCACTAGCCAGAAAGGCAGTGACATAATCAGGACTTTTCTCTTTCTTATTCTTTGTCCTGACTCTCCTAACCACTCCATGTGAAGAAGATGAATTCATAGCATGAACTACAGTCAGACTACTCGAGTTTATATGTTTTTCCAAGTCCATCTCGGGAGAAAATGATTCAGAAGCTTGTAAATGTTTATGCAGCTCGCTTGTTTCACTTCCTGAACTAGTAGCCAAAGTTTTGTGTAGGCCTACCTCTTGCAAAACCGGATCTGGAACTTTAAAACTGTTGAAAAATAATCTTTGATCCATGAAATCCTTCCATTTCTGACACAATGGTTTCCGCTCTTTGGGTGAATTTTCTAAGTAATCTCGCCACAATTTGGCGACAGGGTTTCTTTTCGAAGAGCCCACCATCAAAATGTACCTTTCCCAACGCCTCCGCAAAATGTGAGTTTTATCAATCTCACAATCATCGGGCTCTGTAATTATTACTCCAGACTTATCGACCCAATCACTGTCCTCTTCATCCGTCGATGAGTCACTATAAATTGGAGGTGGCATTTCATCTTGTTTTATCACACCTGTTTTAATATCAGTCAATACTTTTTGGTGAAGGTCGTAACGCTTATTCGAACCAAACTCCGATTTCTTAATCCTAAATACGGAGCCATCCGCCAAAAAGAGTCGTATTTTTCCGTTTTGGAAAGTATTGGTGAATGTGTGAGGCGTGTTTGATGTTGGGCTTTCTCCTTTATTACCAGTCCACGACTTGTTGTCCACGATCAAGCCCCTACGTATCTTTAGTTTCACACCACCTGAGGAATAAACAGTGACTAAACTAGGATTTACTAAAGAGGAATCCAAGGGTGCTATGTATTTATGTCTAGTATGAGAAAGTCCAACAAGCTCGTGAGCTGGTTTCAAAATGGAGTTTGGTATCTTGAGACACTCTCTGATATTTAAAGAAGACATGAAAATTTTCCATTTTTGGCAAAGAGGAATCCTTTCATCGGGTGGAGAACAGTCAATGAAAGTTTGCCACTTTTTAGCAAATGGATTTCTTTTTGATGAACTAAACTGAACTATATACTCCTCCCAACGTCTACGCAACACATGCACCTCATCTATGCTACAACTTTCAGGTTCTGAAATAAACAATTTTGTCTTTGGAACCCATTCGGTTTCTGACTCGTCAGAAGATGAATCACTATATTCAGGAGGAGGGCAACTTTCTGTACTCCTTTCTCGGTCTTGCAGACGAAGAAAATAGTTGTTAAGCTTTAAATGATTAGTATTAATCCTAAATGTAGAGTTATCAGATAAATACAGACGTATTTTTGGTGCACGTACTCTTCTAGTGGACGAAAGCAGTTTCTGACTGTTTGTTAGAGGTAATTCTTTTCTAGAATCTTCAGGATTGTTTTCAGCAAAACTGGGTTGACTATTCAATGTTCCACTTTGCAAAGATGGACTTTCTGAGATATTCGTTTCTGTATCACTGTTGGCTTGATGTACTGAACTTATATTTGTTTCTGTATCAATGTTTGAAACATTCTTCTTGTGGGTCTGATGCATTGAACTTACATTTGGTTCTGTATGAAAGTTTGAAACATTCTTCTCATGGGTCTGATGCGTTGAACTTATATTTGTTTCTGTATCAACGTTTGAAACATTCTTCTCAGTGGTCTTATGCATTGAACTTATACTTGTTTCTGTATCATTGTTTGAAACATTCGACTCATTGGTCTGATGCATTGAACTTATACTTGTTTCTGTATCACTGTTTGAAATATTTTTCTCAGTGGTCTGATGCATTGAACTTATATTTGTTTCTGTATGTATGTTTAAAACATTCTTCTCAGTGGTCTGATGCATTGAACTTACATTTGGTTCTGTATGTAAGTTTGAAACATTCTTCTCAGTGGTCTGATGCATTGAACTTATACTTGTTTCTGTATCACTGTTTGAAACATTCTTCTCAGTGGTCTGATGCATTGAACTTAGGCCTATACTTGTTTCTGTATTATTGTTAGAAACATTCTTCTCAGTGGTCTGATGCATTGAACTTATATTTGTTTCTGTATCACTGTTTTTACGAATGATGGAATGATGAAGTTTTACCTTGAGACCACTAGTCAGAAAGGCAGTGACATAATCAGGACTTTTCTCTTTCTTATTCTTGGTCCTGACTCTCCTAACCACTCCGAGTGAAGAACATGGATTCATAGCATGAACTACAGTCAGACTACTCGAGTTTATATGTTTTTCCAAGTCCATCTCGGGAGAAAATGATTCAGAAGCTTGTAAATGTTTATGCAGCTCACTTGCTTCCCTTCCTGAACTAGTAGCCAAAGTTTCATGTAGGCCTACCTCTTGCAAAACCGGATCTGGAACTTTAAACCTGCTGAAACATAATCTTTGATCCATGAAATCCTTCCATTTCTGACACAAAGGTTTTCGTTCTTTGGGTGATTTTTCTAAGTAATCTCGCCACAATTTGGCGACAGGGTTTCTTTTTGAAGAGCCCACCATCAAAATGTACTTTTCCCAACGCCTCCGCAAAATGTGAGTTTGATCAATCTCACAATCATCGGGCTCTGTAATTATTACTCCAGACTTATCGATCCAATCACTGTCCTCTTCATCCGTCGATGAGTCACTATAAATTGGAGGTGGCATTTCATCTTGTTTTATCACACCTGTTTTAATATCAGTCAATACTTTTTGGTGAAGGTTGTAACACTTATTCGAATTAAACACCGATTTCTTAATTCTAAATGCGGAGCCATCCGCCAAAAAGAGTCGTATGTTTCTGTCACGGAATTTTTTGTTGGATGTGTTAGGCATGTTTGAAGTTGGACTTTCTCCTTTATTACCAGTCCACGACGTGTTGTCCACGATCAAGCCCCTAGGTATCTTTAGTTTCGCACCACCTGAGGAATAAACAGTGACTAAACTAGGATTTACCAAAGAGGATTTCAAGGGTGCTATGTATTTATGTCTAGTATGAGAAAGTCCAACAAGCTCGTGAGCTGGTTTCAAAATGGAGTTTGGTATCTTGAGACACTCTCTGATATTTAAAGAAGACATGAAAATTTTCCATTTTTGGCAAAGAGGAATCCTTTCATCGGGTGAAGAACAGTCAATGAAAGTTTGCCACTTTTTAGCAAATGGATTTCTTTTTGATGAACTAAACTGAACTATATACTCCTCCCAACGTCTACGCAACACATGCACCTCATCTATGCTACAACTTTCAGGTTCTGAAATAAACAATTTTGTCTTTGGAACCCATTCGGTTTCTGACTCGTCAGAAGATGAATCACTATATTCAGGAGGAGGGCAACTTTCTGTACTCCTTTCTCGGTCTTGCAGACGAAGAAAATAGTTGTGATGCTTTAAATGATTAGTATTAATCTTAAATGTAGAGTTATCAGATAAATACAGACGTATTTTTGGTGCACGTACACTTCTAGTGGACGAAAGCAGTTTCTGACTGTTTGTTAGAGGTAATTCTTTTCTAGAATCTTCAGGATTGTTTTCAGCAAAACTGGGTTGACTATTCAATGTTCCACTTTGCAAAGATGGACTTTCTGAGATATTCGTTTCTGTATCACTGTTGGCTTGATGCACTGAACTTATATTTGTTTCTGTATGTATGTTTAAAACATTCTTCTCAGTGGTCTGATGCATTGAACTTACATTTGGTTCTGTATGTAAGTTTGAAACATTCTTCTCGTGGGTCTGATGCATTGAACTTATATTTGTTTCTGATTCACTGTTTGAAACATTCTTCTCAGTGGTCTGATGCATTGAACTTATACTTGTTTCCATATCACTGTTGGAAACATTTTCAGAATGCATATCAGTGATTGAGTCATCGTTGTTGCTAGACACAGATGGTAAATCATCCGTCAGATCAACTTTTGACAAATATTCAGGAAAAAGGTCCCGCAGGAATTTACTTACTCTCAAATCTTTATTTGTAACACGAACAGCACCATTTTTGTCCTTATTGACATTGATAAAGTCTGATAATTCTCTATTTTTATAAATAACTGATACATTTATTCGTTTAAAAGAACCATCAGGTAGAAAAAATCTGACTCTTTTCATTCTGTATCTTTTTAGAGAATTTCCTGTATAGGGAATACTTTTATTTGGAACTGATTGACTCGTTGAGGGAAGGAATTGTCGTGTTGGTTGGTGTTGGAAAGGTAGAGGAAATGGCTTGGTCACAGGAAGGAATGGATTTACATTTGAGTGATAAGGGAAGCTTTGTTTAGGGAAAGAGAGAGGAGTCAACTGGCCAGTTACACGTTGAATATTTTCAGAACAACTGGTTTGATTGTTTGATGATACACTTTGCAGAGAGAGCTGTCCTGAGATTTCACACTCGTTATGTTGATCCATTGAACTTATATTTGTGTCTCTATTAATGTTGTAAACCTTTTTCTCATAGGTCCGATGCATTGAACTTATGTTTATTTCCATATCACTGTTGGAAACATTCTCAGAATGCAGACCAGTGATTGAAACATCGTTGTTTCTAGACACAGATGGTAAATCGTCCGTCAGATCAACTTTAGCCAAATACTCAGGAAAAAGGTCCCGCAGGAATTTTCTTACTTTCAAATCTTTATTTGTAACACGAACAGCACCATTTTCGTCCTTATTGACCTTTATAAAGTCTGATAATTCTCTATTTTTATAAATAACTGATACGTTTATTCGTTTAAAAGAACCATCAGGTAGAAAAAATCTGACTCTTTTCATTCTATATCTTTTTAACGAATTTCCTGTATGGGGAATACTTTTATTTGGAACTGATTGACTCGTTGAGGGAAGGAATTGAGGTGTTGGAACTGATTGACTCGTTGAGGGAGGGAATTGTGGTGTTGGAACTGATTGACTCATTGAGGGAAGGAATTGTGGTGTTGGAACTGACTGACTTGTTGAAGGAAGGAATTGTGGTTTCGGAACTGATTGACTCCTTGAGGGAGGGAATTGTGGTTTCGGAACTGATTGACTCCTTGAGGGAGGGAATTGTGGTGTTGGAACTGATTGACTCGTTGAGGGAAGAAATTGAGGTGTTGGAACTGATTGACTTGTTGAGGGAGGGAATTGTGGTGTTGGAACTAATTGACTCGTTGAGGGAAGAAATTGAGGTGCTGGAACTGATTGACTCATTGAGGGAAGGAATTGAGGCGTTGGAACTGATTGACTCATTGAGGGAAGGAATTGAGGTGTTGGAACTGCTTGACTCCTTGAGGGAGGGAATTGTGGTGTTGGAACTGGTTGACTTGTTGAGGGAAGAAATTGAGGTGTTGGAACTGATTGACTTGTTGAGGGAGGGAATTGTGGTGTTGGAACTAATTGACTCGTTGAGGGAAGGAATTGTGGTGTTGGAACTGGTTGTTTCGTTGAGGGAAGGAATTGTCGTGTTGATTGTCGTGTTGGAACTGATTGACTCGTTGAGGGAAGGAATTGTCGAGTTGGTTGGTGTTGGAAAGGTAGAGGAAATGGCTGGATCACAGGAAGGAATGGATTTACATTTGAGTAATAAGGGAAGCGTTGTTTAGGGAAAGAAAGAGGAGTCAACTGGCCAGTTACACGTTGAATATTTTCAGAACAACTGGTTTGATTGTTTGATGATACACTTTGCAGAGAGAGCTGTCCTGAGATTTCACACTCGCTATGTTGATCCGTTGAACTTATATTTGTGTCTCTATTAATGTTGGAAACCTTTTTCTCGTGGGTCTGATGCATTGAATTTATGTTTGTTTCTATACCACTGTTTGAAACGTACTTCTCATGGGTCTGATCCATAGAACTTATGTTTGTTTCTGTACCACTGTTTGAAACATTCTTTTCATGGATCTGATGCATTGAACTTATACTTGCTTCCGAATCACTGTTGGAAGTATCACTGTACGAAGTATCATTGTTGGAAATATTCTCAGAATGTGGGATTGAGTCATTTTGGCTGCCAAACGCAGATGGTGCATTGTTGTCTAGATCTACTTTCGATAAATATTCAGGAAAAAATTCCCGGAGGAATGTATTTTCTTTCAAGTCTTTATTTGAAATGTTGATACAGTTAGAATTTCCTATTACTTTAGCTCTTGCATAGTCATATATTTCTTTATTTTCATTAATAATTGGGTTGTCAATTTGTTTTTTAGAGCCATCAGGTAAAAAGAATATGAATTTCGTAAATCTTTTATTTTTACGTTTCTTACGTTTTTTATTCGTGGAAGGAAGAAAAATTGGTTGAGTTGGGGGTTTTGAAGAACTCTGTGGTGAATACCCCTGCCCCGTATCACAGACTTGGCTGGGTGATTTGTTTGTCACATATTCTGTGATTTCCACAAGACCGCTTGTGTCAGAACATGTTCCCCACATTGAGTCCATCACGACGTCGTCATTCTCCTCTCCTGTCACTGATTTCAGTTTGTCACAGACCTCACAGTCTTTTATGAACATTTCCTCTTGCTCCCCGTCATCTTCCTCTTCGTCTTCCCAATCGTCGGAAGAGCAAGGGAGGATAATTTCACTATTTGAGCTAAATCCAAATATGTCTTCCTCTTCGTCAACTACTTCACCCTCTTCTACCTCTTCGACTTCTTTTTCTGCTTCCGTTAGTCTGAAAACAATAGACACTATGTACCTGAGGCATAGCAATTGAATCTCGGTGGTTTGGATAAACAATCATAAGGATTAATTTGATACAGTTAATGTATTGAAAATATCCGTAAACTAAGGATTTGGAAGTACCGTAGTCAGTCTGTTTTCTTAACCACAAACCACTATTTACAAACACTATTTAGATTTTATTTAACATTTTGTTAAACATAGACAGAGGCTCACAAAATTATATGAATTCTCTGAATTAATTCTCAAAATTATATGAAAGAGTATTTTTATTACCATGTCAATTATTCTGAAAAATTTGACAATATATATAGGCTTTATAATTTATCTTATAAAACTTATAAAACTCAAAGGAGGTATGATTTTTTAATATGATTTCAGTTTTATAAATAGGCATAATATGCACTATATGAGAATGAGTTTTATTGTTATAACACTAATATTAAATTAGGGGTTTGCCTACCTCTGAGCTTAACATTGAAAGAGTTTGTAAATTACATTTAGCTAATTTACATTAGCTCTGAATCGAAAATAAACCTTTAGGATAGCAATTTTTCTTTAGGATAACAATAATAAACTAATTTTTTATATTAGTTCAACAAGTGGAAATGTTGGTTTAGTTAATAACAAAAGTTACTTGGTTAACAGCAGGGCTCTCAGTTACCTCTAACCTTACTTATCTTGCTCAAATTCTCAATAAGAAATCTTTACACAGATCAGCATAAAAATATCTCATGGTTTGGACAATTAATAACTTCCATGGTAAAAATTCAAACATTTACAATAAGTTAGGAGTTGTAAAGAGCATAAAATATATCTTATAAAATTTGGGTGTTACAGACACCCTGTTTGATACAACTAATGGAGAAAATTACAAATACGTATTGTATGTACAATTGAGCTTTCTTCACACGATAGTTTAATCAGATATCTAAGGTTGAAAAGACTTTTAACTAAATAGCTTTAAAAGCTGATGCTAAATTTATTTTTTATCTTATTTTTAACTTTCTGCTTTTAGAAAAAACTTACCTCAATAAAAATCTGTAAATGTCTTCTGTTTTTCATGACAATGGGTCGTGCCATTACAACCACGATAAAGCTTTTAAAACTACAAAAAGGCTACGTATAAAAAATTTTACCAAATAACTTTGATGGAAGTTATTGCCAAATTTCTCTGGCTTGGGTCGAGAAAACAGCCCGACTATGTGATGGGAAATGTTAGGAGAGGAATGGTATTGCTACCATTAGGGGAGGGCTTGGATGACAACTTTTAACTTAAATTATTCTAAAATAGTGAAAACTTAAAAAAAAATTAGTCGGCTATAATACGTAATAAATTTGATTGAATGATACTATATTTTTAAAGAAATATTCATGCAACAGAACTCCAACTATCCAAACTTGAATCACCTAGATCGCCAACAATTCAGATCACCAAAGACAAAGAAAAACAATTTTGGCTAAAAAATTAAGTTCCTTGCAGTCTGAGGGTAACCTATGAAATATTTTAACGGGTCCATTTCAATGGGTATTTATTGGGTCCATCATGCAGTGGGTCGATTGCAATTTTGTATCAATCAGGCATGTGATGAGTCATTTGCGTAATGCCACTCTCTAATGATTATCTGAATGGAGTCTGGTCCCAATTCATCCGGATAGTTTAAGTTAAACTGTATTTGAGTCTTTTACGACCCTTGGCTTTTTTGTCAACTGAAATAACCTAGACCAGTGTTAATCAAACAATGAGTTTGAGTCGCTGGTTGGATTTTAATGGGACAAAGAAACAAACTTTCGCCACATTACACAATGAGCAGCCGGATTCTTTACGCAAGTTGTTGATAAAAAAATATATAAAAACAGTAAATTTTTCCAAGGACTCTTACAGTGAACTTAAAAATAAGGCATTGCATGAGTTTCTTCAGTAAAGTTTTGACGAAGCTACCATTAAAAGCTATAAACTAAGATAACATTACACCATCACAATTCAGTTGAAAATAATAATGGAATAAAAACAGTGTAGTTTGTAATTTAAATATTAATTATAGGGGAGGAAAACAGGATGGAATCAAAATAAAATATTTGATAATCGCTGACTTACACCTAATCAAGCAAAAATGTAATTTTACCTGATTGCACAGCAACAAATGCAAAAATTCATAAGCTCAGTTCCGTACTCAAACCGGTTTTCCCGGACATTTTTACCGGGGCCCGGGACAGGCCCCGCCAGACATATACTTGAAGGGGAGGGGAGGGGTTCCCGGCTTAGTACCTATACTGCAGCCTGCCAAAGCTGGGTACAGCCCTTGCATTTGTATGGTTAACAGACTAAGCGTGAAACAAACCACACAATAAACATTCCCATGTTGGATATTCAAAAAATGTCCTCAATGCAGTTGTCTCACAATACGATGTCAGGATAAAAATAACAATAAATGTAACCCATTAGTTGAGAAAAAATAAATCATATAGCTTTATTATGCACTCCTCAACAAATTGCAATGCAATTGTACATTCAAATCAATCCCTTGTTCCTTAACTTACAAAAAAAAAAAACATTTGTATTGAATAATCAATTGATAACCGATAAACTATTTGACTTAACTTGCTAGCTCTGGAATTTAAAAGTATTTCATGCTCCTCAATGACGTTACTAATAACCTATATTATAATCAAATTATGCCTATTTGTATCTCATAAATTCAAGTGCTAAAACATCAGGTATTCAAGTTCAATTGATAAATAATTATCAAACAAAGCACAGTAATGTCTACTGAATGGTCACTGAATTCACTGTAAGGATCGATGAATTAGACGGCACACCGTCATTGTAAACACAAATATCAAATTATAATATTTCAGTTAGCAGCTGATGACTCATTTATCACCGGGTGGGTCTCTCATATGTAGAATTATGGGGAGAGTTAAAGTTATATAGATATGACTAAGTACACTTACTCATGTAATATTTTTCTCTCCTCCTTGGAGAAATCCGGAGCGAACACAAGGTCGTTTCCTGTATCACTCTCCATGTAGTCCATCAACACGACCTTGAATTTTTTACGGAACTCTGTATTGTTCATGTGGCCAAAACCAGCTCTGCGCATTGTATTGGTCGCTCTGAAAACATAGAGATGGATCAGACACAATATTCAAATTAGAGAAAAACCTTGAGTCAACGCTTAAAACTTAAAACCAAAACCCTAAAAGTTTGTTTACGAGAATAGAAATATTTGTGGCAAACTGGCATACTTTCTCCCATTAGCTGATGTACAACCCTTATAATGGCTAAGCTAAGCGGTGGATGTAACTATGGTATTTTATGGGTAAAATCACAAAAATTGCATCTTCTGAACCATAACTTTTATAACATTGCGTGATGTATCACTTTGTTTCAAGTTTATACTAGGGGTGGGCGAGTACTCGACCTTCGAGTAATTACTCGAGTTTTTTCAAATACTCGACCTCGAATTAAAAATTCGAGTCGAGTAGTTATAAATAGTGCCACTTCACGATTTTCTACACCCATATTTAATAAATTATTTTTTTGTTTTGTGTTGATGCCTTATTTAATCCCCATTCCTAGAAAAACAACTATCTAACCTCATATAGGTTAGACCAGCGTAAACCAAATGTTCAACAAACACCCATCATCATTCGGCGGAGCTAGCAAGAGGACTACTAACAGACTTTCACTTTCCTACAACAGTCAACAATAAGTCTCGATAACGATACAGTAAGTTGAAATAAAGCATTGAATGAATCTATCGAACTGCAGTAGTCGATAGTCAACAAGGGAGTCCCGTGACTAGTATAACAATGGCAGACGATTCTTGAAGATATTATAAAGTACAGTATCAGATTTAGTTTGAACTGCCATAAAAATATATACCAAAATATAGAAATAACAAAATATTTTATACCAAAATATAGAAATACAACAAATAAAAACAGCCTGTTGTAGCATAATATTTTTTAACATTAATCGGTATTGGTGTTTAGTTTTACAAACCGATTAGTTACTGCAAGGAACATCGATGCATCTGAATGACGCAATCTCATTGGGTCTTGGCAGAAAGAAAAGATCAGTTCCACTTTAAACTCAGTGTTGCCAGATGGACGATAGTTGTTGTACTTTTACAACTGTGGTATTGGCATAAACAAACTATAAGTATAATTTATTTTCTAATCAGTTTACATAAACATGATTAAAATTAGTCAAACTATTAATTTTTTTTTACAAAATAAAAGCTATAGAAATTTTATGATAATTTTACCGACATTCACCATAATGGTGTAATGATAAATATGGCAACGTCAGCCATGCAAAACAGCTGTTTGATGGGAAAACAAAGCAGAAGCAGAATGAGCAGACTGACTAAGAGAGAGTGAGAGGGGGAGAGAGAGATAGAGAGAGACTAGAGAGCAGATCACCAGATATGGTGACAGCTGGCGTAACAACAAAACAATGCATTGGAGTAATTGAAGTTATGTCAATGTCAGTTTTGAATGTTTTTACTTTGAAGTGAATTTGTAACTTAAAATAAAATTAGTTGGTGGAAGTTTAATAGAAAGTAAAATAAACATATTCTGTTTGTGATTTTGATTGTGCAATTTTCAATCTGGTGGCAGAAACATGACAACGACAGTTTGAATTGTAACTTAACCTAGAAAATGTTAGTTTATAAAGAAAGGCCAAATAGGCTATACCGGGCTACAGTGAAATGTGTTTTATTTTAAATTAAGTGTTTAATGTGGGATTTTATTTCGAGATAATAGACCTACTATGTTTTTGTTTGATATTTTCAGTCTGTCAGAGACGAGTGACTTAATCATTTTTATAAATGTACTGAGTGAAGAGGATAGCCCTAGTACCCATAACCTTCAAACTTAAGACATATGAAGTGCTTATCTAAGTGATTATTTTTAAATACCTAATTGCATATTGATGTTTTTAACTTGTGATGCAATATGTAGTTTGATATTAGTTTTCTGTTTTATAAATAAATTTATTTTTATAAATTCTGTTTCTTATTTGAGTTGAAATTATTCTTAAAGTAACCTTATTAAGTTAGTTAGTTAGGTTGATTATCTTGTTAGTGAGGAGGAATTAAAGGCAAGAAAAAATAAAACACACAAGAACAAGTGATGTGTTGGCCTAAATAATTTAATGCTGCAGCCAACAAGTAGTCTAGGCCAAATTTTTTATTAGGCCTAAGATAGGAGGTACTAATAATTAGTAACCATATAACTTAGAAAATTTGGTATAAGTACTTAAACTACCCATTTTGGCCTAGGCAGGGTTTAGGCTAGACTGAAAATTGTTTCAGCAAAATGCTGCGAACTCTCTGCAAAGACAAAAACTAAGTTACCGTAACTGTAGAAAACATATTCAATAACTTAAGCATTAAAAACAAAAAATTCCAGTAGGCTAATATTACATTTGTTTAAACATTACATCTTTCAATTTTATTTGTAGAAAATTTGCCATAGGACTAGCCTGCAAAACAATGTAAACTTAGCATTTTTAAGTTGTGAATAGCAAGATGCTAAAAATACTACCGCAGCTTAAACCTAGGCCTACTTAACGCGCAACTACTCGACTTGACTCGATACTCGAGTTTTTACTCAAATACTCGACTCGACTCGACTCGAATTGAAAAGTCACTACTCGCCCACCCCTAGTTTATACCCCAACATACTCCATGAGCCATTTTTTTAAATAAGATATTTCCGTTATTTTATAGGTTTTTATGGAGAAATCACCATTAAAATCTAAATGTCAAAAGGTTTTTAAAAAAAGTCTGGAGATGCCATGGATTAGTTTTTATACTATACTGGATACCATATGCAAAATGTTACCACAGATTTTATATACAGGGTGTCTACTACATTCTGGATAAAAAATTCATGGACAATTCCCGTACATTTACGGACACTTTGCCGTAACCTTTGTCGGTGTCATTAGGCCTACCGAATAATTTTCCTGATTTGTCAAACTGTATTAATCTTGTTATTCACTGTAATTGTACCAGAGAGAAAAGTAAATATTAATAGATAAGAGTTAAAAATTTCAAAATAGAAATTTATTGAAAGTAAACAAACATAGGCCTACCTATACTTTAGGTAAAGCTTTTATAGTGTAACAGAGAAACGCAATCATTGTCTCCTGCGATAGCGACAAATATCTCCATCCGTCACGTAAACTTCATAACATAGCTTATCCGACCCAGGCCGATTAATTTGGAATGATTCGCCCTGGCACAACGTTAGGTTCTCCGACTACTTTTGAAAAAAAAAATCTTTAATGCATATTGTTACTCAATTCTTAGTACAAAATCAAGGTATGGTAAGCGGCTATTAATAAGCAATAAGCACAGAGTAAGATTATTGTATTTTCATTTGCAAAGTTAATATCGACACATAGCAATCATTTAGTTGTTTATCTTAGGCTCAATTACATTTTCTTGATATATTTTATAGCTCTTTCAAGAATCAAAATACCCAGGCCTAGACCTAATTATTTAGGAGGGCCTATATAAACTGAGTAACAAACAATGAGGTTATAATAGCAGCAAAGTCACTATCACCATTCTAGTTCATAAGATTTAGATTGCTTAAAGCATACAACTCAATAAATAAATATATGGGAAACAAAAAACATTGAAACCTGAATAGCCAACAATATAAGACAAAGATACAGAAAATGCAATGACATAATTTGAAACCAAGCAGGCCTACATAGTGATAAAACATTAATGCAAACTGCAAACAACAATGCTTGTGGTTTTGTCAATTGAAAGATAAAATGTCCATAAAAAAGGGGTTAACTTACAAAATAAGACTGTAGATTATTTACATGTTTAATATGAAACCATAAACAGTTTTATGGCACTGGCAAATTGTATCTTCAAGCCGAAAGTACAAGTAAGAAGTGGAATTTAACAGCCATTATAAAGCTATTATTTTCATGATAAACTAGGTTTGGGATCTAATAATAATTACCCTAGTAATAAAAAAAGAAGTTGTAAAGGAATAAAAGTGATACAACTTTTATGAGCTAGCTGCTGAGTCAACAGTTCTTGGAAGTACTTGACTTGACACTTGATTGTCTGATAAAATATTAATGGGTTTGAGATTGCTAATGGCATTTTTATTGCATAATTACTCTAGTAATAAATTATGAAAATGTAAACAAACATCTGATAAACCTTTTATGTGCTCCTAACCAACTAGTGATCAATAAAATTATGGCACATTAATAATTTAAGGACATAGTCTGAAATTTAAGGACAATTCCCATACATTTCATGGCCAGTAAAAATTTAAGTACAATTCCCGGTTTTCCCGGATTTCCCGGTTGGTAGACACCCTGATATAGCTCTGTAGGCTACAAACCCACACACACAAACACAAACAACAATTCAAAAACTTGGACAAAAACAATACTTTGTATACTTTTAATTGAAATGGGGACCATACAAAGTTGGTATTTTAAGCAAAGTATGAGTGGAGATGAGTGTAGGATGAGTGGCGCGATCTTGTAGTCTTGTTAGAGACTAAGGCCAACATATTCCTTAGACACAGCTGTTAATTAATAGCCCATACAGCTAATAGCCAAACCATATTTTTGCCTTGGTAATAACGCATTGGTCTCAGTTAGTAAATTAGTAATCATCAGGATAGTACTGCGGATAGTCGTAGTACTCACTAGTGCGGAAGTTAATCCACACCAGGATTCACAGTGCATGCCTATAAATATCCACAATATAGGGGGGGGGGAGTTAAAAGAATCTTCAAGGTGTCTTTTTGGTTGAGAAATAAAAAAAGTTAAACCAAACAAGGCCTGTATTCTGGAATAATCTGGTGGTACTTATCCTTGTAAAAACAATGTCATGTACAGTATACATTTTTTGAATGTTCATTAATTTTATACCTATAGAAAAACCTAGGCTACTTAAAAAAAAGCCCCCGGTTTTAAGGATTAAATAAGTCCCTTTCCATGGTTGAATCGGGTTAATTTGTGTTTTGTTCTTCTTTATTGATATTTTATTCATGGAGACATAAACACATCTGGACAAATATCAATTCAAATACCATTTTAAATCCAAAAGGAAGAAAAATATGTATTCCAAGAAAAATTAAACACGTCAAGGTTAACAAATCCAATATAGATTTCAACAACCAATATCTTAGGGGGGGGGGGGGGGGTTCAAAGAAAAGGATACTTACTGAATAGGAGTCTTTATTCCCTGCTGATTCTTCCCCAGGCCGGAGCCGGTCCATCCCATCCTCAACATCATCTTACTTCCGATGTTGTCCATCGGAAGAGTCTCAGGAGTTTTATTCTCACTCACCACTGTGTCCTTGCTGACATGATCACCTCCAGAGGAAAATGGCACCTTTTCCTGTGACCAGGAACAGAATCAATTGCAGGCCTACTGATACCCATACTGATTGTTGAGGAGAAAGAATACACTGATTTAAAAGACCTATCAGATCCCCAAAACTTGTGTTCAGTCCTACCTCACACATGTGAGTCACTTGGTCTGTGGATATGATGATTAGTCATGTAATATGATAGTTGGCAAAACTGTTGTTTTTTTTATTTTGCTACATCACTGACCTGTGGTCTGCATGTACTGTTAACCAATTTATGCCCAGACTATGTGTTTAATTAAAATGTATAGCTCGGTCCATGGCAACTTCGCATGTATGCGGCGATCAGTAGCGAACGTGTTTCTTTCCAATGTCCAGTAAGAAATGCTGTTAATGGACTTCAAAAGTTTTTGTTAAGTCTGATTATGGTATCAAATCTCTAAATGTTACAGTCCTAAGTCCTGTAGAAATTCAACCATCCACACTCAAATTCCCAATTAGTTGAATCAATTTGAATGAAATAAAGGAAATAGGAAAACCAAGAAAATAAAGCAACAGCCTTATGAGCAATTTTTCGGTGACAATGTGAGGGTAAAAATTAAAGTTAAAAATAAAAGTATTTAAAAAAACCATTCCCTTCTCGCTCCATATTTTCGGAACAATGAGGCATACCCCCTTTCCACCCTGCCCACTGTCACTGCTGCTGTTCTGCCACTAATTTTAGCCTGTGTTGGTATATATACAATATGCCTGGAAAGACAAAGATTGGAGCTGACAGCAAGAAGAGGAATTCAAAGTTTTTCAGGAAAGCGGCCAGTGAAAAAGTATCAATAAACCTTACCTGAATTGTATAGCATGTTTCCCGAAGTTTTTTCAACCCATTTATTGCAGCATTCTTTTTTGCCTCTTTGTTCCCAATTCCTACACCAGAAGCTAAGACTTTTCCGTCGATGCTCACTTCACAAAACCTAAAAATAAAATGTTGGCAATAGAGATGATTTAATTTTTAATTTTATTAACTTCACAGTCAACTTAGGTATTCATATTTGGCTATAGTAGTTACTGTTGAATTTTATTATAAGGATGTTAATTTTTTATGTTATTTGTTACTACTATTTAATAATAACTTGAGTGAAACCAGTATTGTAATATAGTCGATACATAATGTCCATAATGTCAGCTGGCGTTACTGTTATAGAAACTCACCAAAACTTATCATTTTGCATATTTCTCAATTTAGTTTCAAATAGAAAAATTCTTGTTTTAACATCAACTAGCTGTTACCCACGGGCTTCACCCCGTTTGACTTCATAAGTATTAATAAAACTATTGAATGGTTAAAAGCTCAAATAAACAAAACAGAATACAGTAATACAAACAAATAATCACACCTGATTTTAATAAGGTTTGAAAGAATAACATACAAATAAGTACAGCTGATGTATTTTTAACATTAGGTAGGTATATGGAAAGTTTCTTTTTAGAAAGGAATTACAAATTAAGGGGCAATTTATGAAATAATGGATAGTTTTGCGCAAGGTTTCTCGTCATGACGAACATTTTAAGTATATGGTTTATGGACTTGTAGTTTTCTCAAAAGTTCATGGGTACTTTGGGATTTATATATGGATTACAACAGCTGGCTTTATACTGTTCAGAATCTTTAAGTTTTCAAATGAATCAACAAATTGATTTAGTTTTGTGGTGTTAACTTTAAATAAATTTTCCAAAATATTGGAATAAGCTATTTCTGTCTAGGTCTTATGGCATGCCCTGCACTAGACCCAGGGCCGATTTACTTTTTTGTGTTTATGTCCCCAGGCGCCAAAACACCCATCCATTCAAATTCATATACATGTGAAATTGAAACATGAGTCCGTTAGCATGATAATTTGAGTAAAAATTATCCGATTTTGATGAAATTTTGTAGTAACACCTACTATTCTACCTAGTTTGTGAACCATCATGATCGGAATATGGACCCCAGTTGGATTTTAAGGGCTAAAAATTGGTTTATCCAATTTTTGTAGATATAGATATAGTAAAATATAGATATAAAATTTTTCAATTCCTTTCTAAAGATATATTTTGATCAAATATGGACAGTATTTTTTTACATTTTTATTCTATTAACATTTAAATAAAAAAAAAAAACACTTGTAGCAGCAAACCTAAGTACCGGTTAAAATTAATCTTACCGTATTTAAATAGGAAATAAATCTGGCAATATTTTACAGGAATATTTTTGTTATATTCCATTGAAGTAAATGGAAATTCACTTTGTCTGCAGATTTGCTGTGGTGGGGTATTTAACATTGAGTTTTACACCGTCCATAAACCATAAGTTGTATTTCAGGCCAGGTTACAAGGTGATTTCAAGTAGTTTTGAGACCTCCTTACTTTGTTAAATAGCCTACATTAGTTAATTTCTTAAGACCAAGTAAAATTGAATACCAATTCCAAACTTTTTTTAGAATTCTAGTCACCTAGCTACTGTTATGAACTGGCATCACATGTTCCTAAAGTCAAAATACAATTGTGTAGCTTTTAAAATACAAAATTAAAGTATTCAACGACTCCTCATACCTTTCAGGGTTTGTTGGAGAGTTTTTCGACTCAGGGAAGTCAAAATTTATGGACTTCCACATTTTGCTCTTATGCACTGACATACTCAAAAGGGAGATAGGACATTTACAATTGACGCTCTCGTAAATAACGAACCCTGGGAATTCCCCTTTATCTTGATGTTTCATGACACTCTCGTGGACGGAACATGAATTCCAATGATTGGTCGAGGGGTGAAAACTTGTCTTGAGTAATTTATGAGGTGGCTCTTGTGTTGTGCTTGTAGATGTTGAACCTGTTCCTATTAAAAATACAAATAAAATGTGTTAATGGCTAATGTCAAATAAAGGCTAATATCTGTGCACCAACGATTGTACACAGCATCTACGACTTTTATTCTTTAATTTGTGGTGTCGAGAAGAGAAGGTTCTTAAGTGTTTGTACCAAATATTTGAGTTCTAAATTTTGTTTTAAAATAACTTTAGTATTTTCACAATAATTTTCTTTGTTTTTCATTTTCTGCAATCTTACCACAGTCGGTTTGGTTTGGACAACTGATCCTAGAGTATAGTCAACTTTATTTTATTTTTTTTTATTTTAGCCATTATATTAGATTTACCTAGCTTTGTTATTATTGCTCGAGTTCATTTAGGTAAGGTGTTAGTCGCCCTAGGCATTTCACCATCTTTTGTAGCATCTTAAGGGGTCTTCTTGTGATTTCATCTTCTTATTACTGACACTAGGCTGTAGGTAGTCTATATTTACAAAAATATACACAAAAGCAACCGCCTGATTATTAACCAGGAAAGTCCAACCTACCCTTTGGATAGTCAAGCGGTCAATTCAATGCCAACACCTCCAGTCCTAGACATGAAGCCGAGAAAGAAAGATTTCTTGCTGCGTGTCCATCATTGTGTTTTTGATCGACCAGACCGCGATACTAGTAGCCTAATTGTGTATGTGTAAATATAGACTAGCCTATAGTGTTAGTGATAAGAAGATTAAATCAAAAGAAGATTTCTGAAGATGCCAACACAAGGTAGTAAGGTAGGTTCATAGGGTAACATAAAAATCTTCCTACCTACAAAAACTCTGGCAACAATAGCAAAGGTAAATATATTTAACTCAAGTTCAGGAGACTGGGATGGTAAATATTTCTAGTAGCCTTTAATTTTTTTTTTTAAAGAGATCTTTATTTTATTTTATTTTTTTTTGCCATTTTAAAGAAAGGACAGGCGTAAGACAAGGTAATGGACTGTCACCGATACTATTTAACATAGCCTTAGAAGATGTTCTCCAATAAGTAAGGAAAACAAATATATGCTTGAAAATGGGAACAAGAATAAACATCCTAGCATTTGCAGACAATGATATCCTGTAAAAAAAACAGAAATAACCCAGAGGAGCTAATGAGACTGTTCATAAAAAACAAAGAAAATGGGCCTAAAAATTAATGTAGAGAAGACTAATATGGACATAATAATGAAGTTGTTAAACAATTTAAGTATCTAGGGATAGGCCTAATTATATCAAACAGGAATAGGGAAGCAATTGAAATACAATTTTAGAATTGCTCAGGCCAATCACAATAACACTTAATCTTGGGCCAACGAATTACTCTAAAACATAAAATGAATCTTTCACTTCTAAAAACTACATTAGGCTATAATACAATCTTACTTTTTATTTTTGCTTCGGCTGCATCTGAAGCCTGAACAAAGGTTCTCTTGAGTTTTCCTTTTTTCTTTTCTCTATAATCATCAGCTACACCCGCAGAAAGCTCTGCTATTAACTTCATGGTCTTGTCAGGATATCTAAAAAAATATTCAAGGATTGTAAACTTTGGTATGACCTTTGAAAGAGCAATACAGTTTTAACATTAACAGATAGTGGTAACGAAAAAGTATATTATATATTCTATATATTACATGCTAACCTATCCAATAAATCATCATAAACTAAATAATACATGAAAATGCAAAATAAGCAACCGTTCTACAGTACATAGGTACTGCTTTACAGGATAACTCTGGGTCATAGTATTGACGCCATCTATCCAGTTGTACTGGTCATCGATGAAGAGAAAAGTATGAAGTATTTAACTAATACAGTACTAAATAAAACTAATGACATAAAAAGTTTTAGACCCATAAAAATTTAGTGCTACATAGCCTAGTATAGATTCTAAGTCCTAAAGATGATCTTTTAGGAGTTTGAATCAAATTAGGAACATTTTGTTTTTATTTCTTAAGCTCATGCAAATTTAGAGTGTTTGATCAGTTTTGCATTTATTTTAAAGTGTAGCGTTTTCATGAATTACCCTATAATTTTTCCTATAGAATTTCTCAGGCTAAGAAGAAGGTAATCAGGTAATCATTGAAGCTGGGTAGCTGAGTGGTTATTGTGCCCACCCGGAAATCAAAACTATGCAGGCTTGATCCTGAGAGAAGTGAGTATTTTTTTATGATTAAAAACTGGACCCAACTGTCCTTGATCATTGGGCTTATTATAATTGGTCCTAGGTAACTCAATAGCTTGTCATAGTCAATAACAAAGCTACACAAGAAAAGTTGTTGCGATACTATAATTACCAGCAAGTATCCGATACATTTCTTTCGATGACCAGTGGTAGGTAGGTAGGCCTAAGTTATTGGTCTTGGTATTATTTATTTATTTCCTTATTTATACACGGTAACACCATTCATACAATAGTATTTAGCATAAGCAATTACAAGATGGCATAATTTACAACGACAATACATTACTAATGGAATCTATATAATTAATACGCGAAAAAGAAGTTTGTCGGTTGAACTCCTCTGCCATTTATTAACCAATGTTATCCATTGACGTCTCATTGGAAAGAGCGTGTCACATAGATTTGCAAACTGGCCTTACATTTTTGGGTACTTTCCTGTTAAACGGAACATTCATTATTATCGATGATTTCTTTTTGATATATCGATATTTTATTTTTTTATTCAATGTATTGATATAAAAAATCGTAACTTATCAGCTGACAAGTGCGATGAATAAATTGTTCAGTATCAACAAACAATCTATATAATTAATACGCTACATGAAACTTTGTCGGTTAAACTCCTCCGCCGTTTCTTAACCGATTTTATCCATTGACGTCTCATTGGAAAGAGCGTGTCGCATAGATTTGCAAACTGGCCTTACATTTTTGAAAAATTCCCTTGGGCTCTGCCCCAATGGCTTTGAAAGTTCCCATGTTATCCTTATGAAGAACATAATTGTTTACATTTTGATCAGCTGTATACTTTAATTGCTGTTATTTATTTTTCTATTCAATGAAACGCATTGAGTACAATTATTTAGCCTACTATCTGAGTTTGTGTAAACATAACCCCCAAGGCGGATCGTGTTAGTATGGTTGTATCTTTAATTTGTGGATTATCGTTGTGTTGTGTCGCTATAACAGATCATGTTAGCATGATTGTAATTTAAATTTGTGCATTTATTTATCGTTGTTTTGTGTAGCTATTATTTGTTTTTTGTAGTTTTTTTTTTCTTTAAAATGCCTCTGACGCGACGACAACGAAACATAGACAGGAGGCGTAATCGTGATAACGACCGCAGCTACAGAGGTTTAACTCATCACAGTAAGCACCTGACCCTGGACAATCTCAACTATTAGGTTACAAATGCGCCCTAACACTACAGTACCCAAAACAACCTTTCGTTCCCAATTCGACCTCTATCAATGCCCAGTGTTGCCTGTACAGCGAGGCATTTTGAGAAGGAGAATACCGGCCGGAATGATTTTGGTTTATCAATAACAAAGTTAAACATGCTCTGAGTTACACACCGGAAATCTTTGAGTTGACTCTTTTAAGCTAATTGTAAATTATGACTGTTATTCGTTTTGAAATAACTCCTGTAATACTTTTCAATTGCTCGAATTCGAGCAACATGTACACTAGTAAAAGATTATATTGAAATGAAACTGTTCTAAACTAACCTAACTAACCAAACTTGCTGTAACATTTCAAAATTCCGTTTGGTATTCATCATATGCCTTTTCTGTTATTAAACGGGATTTTGAAACGGTAACTTAGCCTACAGCAAGTTTGGTTAGTTATGTTAGGTTAGTTTAGAATAGTTCATTTCTTAATCCAATATAGGCTATTATTTTTGCATAAACAAGATTAGTTCCTAATCCTATTCTCTAATACGAGCTATAACTCAATAACTTGGTTATTAAACCAAGTATTGCTTAGACATATTTGCTCATGTCTGTTTGTGTTCGAAGATATTAAAACAGATGGAATATGGATCGTAGAGGAAAACAAAAAGATCGATATATTGAAAAGAAATCATTGATAACAATGAATGTTCCCCTTAACAAGAAAGTACCCATTTTTTTAAAAAGTCCCCCTGGGGCTCTGCCCCAGTGGCTTTGAAAGTTCCAATGTTATCCTTATGAAAAACATAATTGTTTACATTTTGATCAGCTGTATAATTTAATTGCTGTTATTTATTTTTCAATTAACCCTTTGAGTGCCAACGTCCGGGGAACCGGACGTTTTTAAAACGAGCCAAAAGTGCCGACGTCCGGCCGACCGGACGTTTTTAGAACGAGCCAAAAGTGCCAACGTCCGGCTGACCGGACGTTTCGTAATGATCGAACAGTTGTCATAACAACCGAATGGATACTCGGATTCTTTTAACCCATATATTAACATTGAGTCGAAAGTTACTAGATGCGATACATCGATTTTCGTTGGTCGAAATATCGAAAATTCGATTTTTACGAAATTTTAACCTAAAAATCGCCAGATCGCGCTCGGCATTTTTAGCGCGACCTTCGGGAAAAATCATCGGCATTTTTTGAGCGTTACTTTTATTTCTCGCCTGGCACTCTAAGGGTTAAATGAAACACATTGGGTACATTTACTGATTTTGTTGAAATTAAATATTTACTATTTCAATTTACATTCGTACATATTACAATGTAAAAAATCGAGAAAGCCTGGACAATTTTATATATTTTACCAAATAAGAAAAATAATCGACAGGGTACTGTATTTTTGAGCAATAATTGAAAGAACAGAATTGTTAACCTTGGAAACATAGGAAAGTCATAGAACGCCACCAAGTAGGAGAAATAGAGATTTTTAAAAAAATTACCATCGTTATCAACTTATATAGCCTGATGAAGAACACCTACAATATGAAGATTCCCACAAACAATGAACAAGGATGTTATTTGATTATTGAACAAGTGCAACAAGTTATTTTGTAGGAAACATGGACTTAACTTTATGATGTTTGGTTGAGGAAACCCCTCTGAAGTTGAATTAAACTGGCACGGCAAGGACATTAATGTGTTTTCATAAAAGTCAAGTGAGTTTAAAAGAATATGACTACATCCAAGAAACCTTAATAGAACTTTCATTGAAGGATTCACATTATTCACATTATTATTCGCATTTAAGAGAAACAAAAATCTATCTGAACAACATTAGGGCTTACAACTCCACATTTTTTAAGATAAATATAATTTACATTATAACAGTAACTTGCCAAACTAATGCCAATTGAAGCAAATAAAATTGTGACAGAGAGGTTATACAGAAAATCCGGCAATTCTTAAGTAATGTAAACAAAATGTTATCGCTAGGCTATAAAAAATTACTAAAATTTGTAAACATACTCGCGACAATGAGTGGTACGATGCAGACTACATTGTCATTGACGAAGATCAACATGGACAACTTAATGTGGGCTATAGGCCTAAGTGGGAAACATTAATTTGTAGAATACACTGAACAACTAGATCAGCTTTTGGAAAACGATAAAATATTTACAAGAAATATTGATTAGGCTATATATGGAACTGTTAGGTACGTAACCTATGAGTTGAGTATTTATGAATTTTATTTGTTATTAAATACGTTATTTGTTTTACTTTACTTTTTTGCAATTGCTCAATTTTGAGCAACATGTACACTAGTTAATATTAAACAAAACTGAACTTGAAAAAACTTTGAGTAGGCCTAAGTATTCTATTCAAACAAGAAATAAGTTAACTATCTTTTTTGAGCAATATGGTAGGCCTATCGAAAGAAAACATCAGGTATCGGTAGGTTAGGTCTATCAAAAGAAAATAAGTTGCGTTAGGCTATAGAGTAGGCTACCTATCTTATTATAGAAAGTAACCTAAGAACTAAAGCCGGGTTTTCCTAGGCGTGGAATCAGCGAGCGGAGAGAGGAACGCGGAGAGCGGACTCCACTTCTCTTAAGCAATTTAATGTTACTGTTTTCCTAGAAGCGGAACGGAACACCATGTTAATCTCTTTTCCGCTCTCCGCGTTCCTCTCTCCGCTCCTGGGAAAACCCAGCTTTAGCTAGAAGTTAATTCTTCTCTAAAATGTAGGCTTTAGATTAATAAATTTTGAAACCAATGAAAACATCTTCAAAAGCTAACTTAGTTCATTAAAAAAAATAGCCTTGAGGCTAATAAATTCAAACATAGCCCACTTTGCAATTCACTATTTAGAGTGGAGTTTAGGTTATCTGACATCAATCACCATCATTATGAACAACAGATCCTTCTGCATCATCGTTTTATTTGACATTACCCTTAGAATTACTTCGCAGTGCTTAAACTTAAGAGCTAAAAAGCAATCTTAAGGCTATATTACATATCTTGCATTAGGAGCCGGGTTATTATTTTCATACCTAGGCTAATTTATTTACAGTCTAAGTAAGCCTAGCCTAAAAAACCTTTGAGTATTAGGCTAGATATTGAAGATGTTATCAGCTTTAACTTACTTAAGACATAATTTGATTTTGACCGTTTATTGAAAACTTTAAATGGCCTTTTTTCGGGAACCGTTTGAGATATTGAGCTGTAATTTGGTATTTTTTGTATAGGCCTAGTCTTCATAAAGGTAACCTTAACCTAAGTTAATGTAGGCCTAACGAATTTTATCAAAATCTAAGATGGCAAGGTAAAAAATAGTTGAAAGTGTGTTGATTTGATATGGACTGACCCGGCCCCCAATCATATTTTGAAATAATGAGGATAAACGTACACCAAAATTTGATGATTTGTTGGATACCTATGGTATCATCACTGATATAACTTGCACATGCAGAAATAACTGGAAATAGCTTAAAGATACCCTACATGGCAAGTGGGGACAGCTTCGATTTCAAGGTCGGCGACTAACAACTACTCGCCCCAAAAGTTGAACATGTCCGACTTTCCTCGCAAGTGAATTTTCACTCACCGGCAAGTGCTAGGCCTAACTTAGTCGCCGCTACTTACTTTGTCACACATAGCGATTACTAGTCGCTACCGGTACTCTAGTTGCGGCGAGTAAACTGGCCATGTGTGACAGGGCCTTTAGGAATGGTTTAGGAAGGTTTAAAAGAAAAGTCCAGAAAGTTCAAATTTACCACTTCGACACTCACCCCCTTCATATTTGGGTTAAAATATGGGTAAAACTGAACTTATACTACTTATGTTATATTGCACTTTTTTTGCCTTATCTACCTTAATTAGACTATTTTAAGCACTTTTTACCATTGGCACTTTTGGGGGAAACGCCTATTTCACCCTGAAAATCGTGTTTGAAAATCAAGAAAAATGCTAGAAATCAATGATTTTAGACGCATGTAAAACTTTTTGGGTACAATTTATTAACTGGACTAACTTATGCTAATAGGCCTATCTATTGAAACTATAAAATTAAAAATATTGTTTAATAATTGATATATTTACCAGCTATATCAGTAATAAAAATAAACTATCATAACCTAACCTAACCAACCAAACTTGCTGATAGTGAAAACATCGAATGAAGGTTTACTAATAATCGGTAGGCCTATTATAAGTTAAGTAGGTACCCAACTTCTTTTTACTACGTGTCAATAACTTAATACTAACCTAACCTAGCATAACCAGGGATTAACTTACCAAAAAACGGTCATTTTGGCACATTGTTAACCTAAGCATGGGTTAGGTTGGGTTAGGTTAGGTTAGGTTAGTTTATTATATATTTAATTTGTTTTACCCAAAAATTGGGTAATTTTTGGTAGGCCTAGGCCTACTTTACTATTTTTTACGATTTTTCAAACCTGGTTTCCTGGGTAAAAACGGCATTTGCCAAAAAGTGTTTAAAATGGACTAATAAAAAAACCCACCCTAAGTTAAAAAAGAAAATTATCAAGCCCCAAAAATCATTGATTTCTAGCATTTTTCTTGATTTTCAAACGTGATTTTCATGGTGAAATAGGCGTTTCCCCCAAAAGTGCCAATGGTAAAAAGTGCTTAAAATAGTCTAATTAAGGTAGATAAGGCAAAAAAAGTTCAACATAACATAAGTAGTATAAGTTCAGTTTTACCAAAATATGCCCCTAGGTGGTATCCCCATCTCAATTTAGGTAAGTTAGGCCTAGTACCGGTAGGTAGGCCTAATAGGCTAACCATAACTTAATATTAAGAGTCTATTTTGTTAATTGCTAGGCCTATGCCTATATTAAGTTAACTCACCTACAACCAAGAAATTCGATGTTGAAGAAAACCCTTGCTAAGCATACCAATTTATCTTCTGGAAATTTATTCTTATGAGTCTCCATGAACTTCTTTCTTAGTTCCCAGTGTTCTTCACTTTCATACTCGGATTTGTACTTGTCTAGGTCCCAGTCCTTTGGAAACTCCATGGTCCTTTGAGAAATGTAGATTAGCTATCTTCTGGTTTGGTTCAGGCTAGGCCATTAGTTAAGTTTATCCTATGTAAATTAGGCCTAGGCCTAAATTCTGACTTCATGATTACTTGTTTTTAAAGAGCGAGAATATGCTAATTTCTTCTAGGGCTGTTTATTAAAATATTACAATAACCATTACAAAATACATATGTAATAAAATTGTAATCAATCGCACACTAAAAATTAAAATTAATACATTTTCCAATGAGCATAAAAATCAAAAATCATTTCTAACTTCTAACCTCAAACGATCTAAGACTAAGACAACCGAATAACCAATTGATTCATTGGGAAAGAGGCAAAGAGGAAGGAAAACTAAATAAAAATAAACTATAATACTACTAATACTAGTAAAAATACCACCAATCAAAAACAACTCTAACCCAAAGTCCAAACTCCAACCAACCCGAAATTAAATTAGAAATAAGCTAAGCCACGGCCACCCAGGGCTACAGATATACGTATATATATACAGATGTAGCTCTGACGGCCACCTATAACTCCAGGCCGCGGCCTTCGAAGTGGCAACGTCACAAGTGGTGTTGTAACAGCTGTTTTGTTTGGAAGCAGCTAATGGTATTTGTGTATTTACGAAAGATTGGTTACTTGACGACTCCACCCAAGAAAACCCTCTTCCAAGGTGTCTCTTCTCATTTATTATTTCAATACTTAATAGTACCATAGATAAAACATACTCCCTTAGTACCCACCACTCATTTTAAATTTATAACATTTACCTTGTTAGAGGTCAGTCTTAAAATGTACATATACAGATTTTTAATTCATATTGTATCGGTTTTCAATTCTGTGTGTTTTATTTTCAATATTTTAATAAATTTATTTTCATAAATTTAAACTTAAATCAATAAAGTGCGAATTAATGAGCTGATGTCAAGTGTCTTCCATGTTATCTTATGGGACGTCTGTCACTAAACAACACCACTTGCGGCGTTGCCAATTCTACCAGGCCACGGCCTGTAGTTAAAGGTGGCCGTGGCTAAGTCTGTAATTTCTGTAAAAAATACGGTTCAAAAGTTATTGAAAATTGTGTTATTTTTCCATAAAAGCCCCATAAAATAACAGAAAAAATGTATTTTATAAAAAATGGCCCGAACGATTGCAATTCGCGTTACAATGGTTAGTTAGTTGTTGTGCCAACACTCTCTTAGGCCACGGCCGCCTTTAACTCCAGGCTCCAGGCCGCGGCCTTCGAAGTGGCAACGTCGCAAGTGGTGTTGCAACTAACAGCTGTTTTGTTTGGATGCAGGTAATGGTATTGGTGGATTTACGAAAGATTGGTTACTGGACTATGACAATATTGACTTCACTTAAAATGTACAGATATAGATTTTAATTCATATTGTTTCGGGGTTTTTTTTTTAGAAAAAGTACAATTTCTTATGTTGTAAATATGTGCCAAGTTTGGTTTTCCTACTGCAGCGTTAAAAAGTTAACTGCCCACACAACACAAAAATATCCTTGGAATGTCCTGGGGATATCCCAGTGGGATATAGGGATATCCTCTGTATAGCCCGCAATATCGCTCAATTACCCAGATAGCAATTTGTTCCTGATTCAGTATTAAATCAAGGTCAAACTTTCAAAGATGCAAGCCTGAATTAATCTTAAAATATCAAGCCATCAAGCCTAATTCAGGGCTAATTCAAGGGTCCTACTGAACACTTGTGAAACCTGAATCAACCCTGAAAATTTTAGGTTGATTCAAGGTAAACGTTTCTGGCAGTAATGCATAATCAAGGCTGAATTGAGGTTGAATTAAGGTATAAGTATGTTTAAATTAAGGTAAAATCATGGTCAATTCAGGACTCATAACCTGAAAATTTAAGGTTAATTCAAGGTAAAGATTTTTGGCTGAAATCAAAATATATTGTTGAATTCGGGTTAAATAAAAGCATAATCATGATCAACTCAGTACATACAGTAACAAGTGATTGACTGACAAGGAATTTTACTTGACTTACGGCATTCTTACGGTCTTAAAGTAGTCCAATATTTTAATGTCCTAGTGGATAGCCTAGCTGTTTTGTCTTTGTGAACTCAAGAACTTTAATGATGCCTACTAAGCGCGGGGACAGCTATCTATTAGGACATCAAAATATTGGTTGCTTTATGGCAGTAAGTTAAGCCTTAAAATATTAAACGCAAGGTACATTACCTTAAGCTTTAATCTACGCAGAAAACTTTGGGTGGATACATAATTTGACCTTATAATCTATATTATAATACAGTTACCACTCACTCACTCATTGATCACTATTCCTCAAAAACTACCATGCATATGTACTCAGAACTTGGTGGCATGGAGGTTTCACTTAACCTCCATAATAGGTTGCACTTAATATGTACAAGAAGTAGCTTTGAGAGATTCCATCAGGGCTCTGGCTCACTGGCTTTAAAATTACAATGTTAACATATTTTTCTTTTGACAGAACTTTCGTTTAATTGTATTAGCTACCAAACCGCTGTTAGGAAAATTCTAAGCAAAACCAATGCAAAACAACTGTTTGTAGCAAAGAAAATTTTTCAATTCTGTTGTGAAGCCCAAGGGGAGGGGCAGCTAGAAACCTATAAATGATGCTATAACACTTTATTTAAATGTTGTATAGGATAACTGAGTTAGGTTAAAAATAATAAGCCTATTCTGCCAATCTTGTGAGTGAAGGGTGAGAGCATTTAATTTTTAATAAGGCCTCATCAAATTACACCAGACCCTGCTTTAGAAAAGACATCTCAGTGATCAACAAAAAGTTTAAAAGTTCAAAACAGTTCTTCAAACATAGCCAAAATATCACTATTTGTGGGGGTATAAATAAAATGTAGCAAGTGACATTGGTTATAGTAAATTTATTTTATGAAAATATAAAGTATAAAACAAACTTGAAAATTAGAACATGAGTTAAATTAAGTGACATTTTACTTATACATTATTTACTGTCGCATAACCTCAGCCTGATGTTCCTATTCTGTGCACCAATACCTCCTCTTTTCCTGCAACAAAAAAAAATCATAAAGTATCGACTAAGGGAGTATGTTTTATCTAATTTTTTTTAATTTTTTCTGTACATGTAATCTGCTTGAGTTAAAAATTTCAGCATGGTTTTCCAGTTCACTAAGTAATTTTTTACTTGAATTGTTTTGACTGTGATTAAAGCTGAAACTGTGGGCAAACATTTATTAATATAGTTATTTGTGTGACAAAACGGCACGGAGACGGCTGGACACTAAATCAAGTAAATAGGGGGCCCGGGATCGCTGAGCCCAGGGGCCCATGATGGCTCTCTCCGGCCCTGATTATCATTGACATTATCAATAGTCTAAAAAATTGGGGAGCGAGCAGGTCTAGTGGTTAGAGCGCGGTCATTCCGGTTCCTGGGGTCCAGGGTTCAAATCCCGCCAAATCACCAATGGATTTTAACTAAGTGATAATGCCGTAACCCCTAGGTCTAGCCTGAAGTAATGTGAAAAACAATCCCGGGCTCCAGCCTAGCGTACGGGAACAAAAAGTCTAAAAAATTGTTGAAACACACAGCGAAATGTAGGTACATGTCAGCTACAGAGCTGCAAATTGTGTCATTCTGTTCACAAATGATACCAGCAAGTGGCGAGGAGCCTTGCTGCAGCGTACTCAAGCGAATTATGGATTTATACGCAGAAACTGGCTCTTACTTGAAAAACCACCCTTGTATGTTCCTTATACTAATAAACCAAATTAACAAACCCGAGACTTGTTATTAGAATTCTAAAACCCGTTGTTGCAACAGTTTAAACGAGTAGGTAGTTTTATCGAATTGGCCAGGGTAGAGTACTCGTCTGTCCTACAGTTATTCTAAAAGTTAGGCAAAATTTGCAATAACATTTTAACAAAGGCGAGGATGATATTGCTCTCTTCCTGGGCGTCTGCAGGATCTTTTGAGCGCTTCTAGAGCTCTGAACCTTAGATTAAATTAAAATAATTAATCAGTCAAAACCGTAAATCCTTCTCAGCACCCCGGGGAAGAAATTTGAGCGTGGCTGGTACTAGGGGTAGGCTGCTCAGTAAATACAATCTTATTCGCCCCTCATAATTTACGTCACATGCTTTTTACACTTTGGATCTTAGAAAAAATGTAAGTTAATGGGATAGGTATTTTAAGTAGGCTACCTATTGGTTTTTCCATGCACAAAAACACTAAGAATGCTCTAGTTTTTAACCTTGGTGAACCCGTCATCGGCCACTGATGCCATGTCTTGTCATCACGGCCTGTGTCGAACTACAGGGAGTGTCGAACTATCGAGGTTCTACTGTAACAACAAAAGTAAACCTTATGAAATAAACAGTTCTATAACTAATATGCTCAACAAACCTTTTAGGTACTGGCCCTAAATTTGGCTTGTCACAGCCATGCACGGATGCAGTTTTTTTTTACTTTCAATTCAGTGGCTTCAGCCAACAGTCTCTTGGCTACAACTGAAACAGTTTAAGTGAAACGCCTCATAATAGATAACAATAACAAAAGAATTTGTTATGCAAATCTATATAAAGCTCAAATACCACTGACTCATTCATTCACTCACTCATCACGAAATCTCAGAAACCATAAGACCTAGGAACCTGAATCTTGGCAGGCATCATCCTTTTGGGTAGTAGACGATCACTAAGAAAGGATTTTACCCTCCGACCTCTGGGCTCCGCCCCAGTGGCTCTGGAGTTTCCCATGTTAACCTTATGAGAAATGGAATTAATGAATCTTAACAGCTGTTTCAATTAAACAAGTTGGTTCTGTTCTATGATGTTTAATAGCATTAAAGTTACAAGGATTACCAACAGGGTGCAGCACTATTATTTCTTTTACATTTATGACAACAGCTAATTTGCAACCAAAAGGTGAGTGAGCGTAGCGAACGAACTTCAACCTGGAGGCGAGTTAGCGTAGCGAACGAGCTAACCTGAAGGCAAGTGAGCGCAGCGAACGAGCTAACCTGAAGGCAAGTGAGCGCAGCGAACGAGCTCTAACCTAAAGGTGAGTGAGCGTAGCGAACGAGCTCCAATCTAAAGGTGAGTGAGCGTAGCGAACAAACTTCAACCAGGACGTGATTGAGCCATGCGAACGAGATCATCTTGAAAATTAAGAAGTTAAACGGGGAAAAGCCCGCGGGTTACAGCTAGTATTGGAAGAAAAATACAAACTAGCTTTGACAATCTCACTTCTGT